ACAGCACCACATGTGATATACTGTTGATCTAAAATAAGTACTGAACTGGACACCAAATCTAAATCCTTCAATGATTTGATTTAGCTTTAGATGATTAGAAAATGAATGCAACTCATCAGATCTGCCCCTAACCTAAGGTTATTTGTAAGAAGCACATCCAGTGAAAAGATGCTATATTGCATATTATTATAATATTTTAAACTGTAAACATATATTTTAATTTGGGAACAACTATTTGAAACAATGTTAACACCCATAAACTAATATATTAAGTACATTACATAATAATAATATTACTCACATAATATTTCAGTCAAATAACTAATAACAATTAGCCAGCTAGCAGAATAGCAATGCCTCAATTCCTTTTTCAGCTACAACTGCATAAAATTAACTGAAAATGTTTACGGTAATTTACTATTTTCCTTTCTTTCAGGTCTTTTCCACATTTGGGTTTTGGGCTGTAGGTCAGCAATTTAAATATAATCATTAGTGACATTTTTCTGTAAACCTGAAATGCTCAAAGAGCAGTTTGGGATTTTTGAACAGATGCTGTTGTCAAATAGTGCGCTGTAAGGGTAAGTTTAGCTGCGAATGTTACAAACATTTGCTGCTTTTGTGCCGCTTTTTTTCTTTTGTGCAGCACCAGTGAAGGAATTGAGACTTGTAGCTGTCTGAGTGCTACAAACCACAGCGATAGGGGAAATAATTTGATTACAGCCACAGTACCTCGTTGCTCGTGCTGTTCGAAAGCAAATAATCAGAAAGTCATCTGAACTTGAGTTCCTCTCTGGCTTAAACAAAAAGTTCCTACATATATAATTGTATTAAACCTAATGCGAGGTGGAGTAGTGGGGAAAGTACAGCGCTGAGATTCAACAAAGCTTGACTCAGCTTTCAAGAATTAGGGAAAGAATGAAAGCTATTTTTTAATTACTGAACAGCATCTGGAAGAGAGCACAGCAAACCTCAATATCTGGAGTTATGATCCGCTGATACTCATATGCACTTGGGTGCTTTCCAGGAGGGGGAACTTGACTGAGGGACACCAGTGGAAACAATGCCAGAAAAGCTCAAATTCTCCAGTGATAGGCAGTTAAGCGTTTTGTTATTCAGTGTTCACAAGTGTGTTGTTAGACTATAAAATACGTTTTTTTTTATTTGAATAGCCACAGATTATGTCAGCAAACATTTTAGAAACAAAACCAAAAAAAAAAAACCCTCTCAGCACAGCCAACAACAACACCCCCGTTCTTCTTCAGGTAGGCATCATAGCACTCACACTTTATCCATGTTGATAAGCAGAAACAATACCAGGACACTTGTTGAAGTTAATCAGAGGAAAATATTACACCGTACAGATACTAAACAGTTATGCTTGCTCATACAAAAACATTACCTCAGTCTCGCCACCTCCGATTCTTATGTCATCAATGCCTTGCAAAAAAAAAAAAGTCTAAAACTGGGTATTGCAGATTTGTCTTTCATATTCTCAGCCGATACTGTGAGTGTTACATTAACATATTCTATACAAGCGTCTGGTGTGAGTTACTAAATCACCACGACTTCATTGTGTCAGAAAAAGAACACAGCCTACAGTGGTGTCACCTTCTCCTCCTTTATCTCTTTCCTCTGTTCCTCCTCTGCCTGTCATTATTGCAAAAGCAACTCAGTTGTCAAAGCCAGGCCTTTGTTTTCAGGATCACTTTCACCACCATTATCTTCCATCATAAAGAATATGGCTATATTCACACAGGTTCCTTTATCTTCCTACCTGCTGTAGGAAGCAGGTCTTGAAGAACAAAAGATGTAGTGCAAACGTTGTTGGTGTGAAGCCATCACTTCCCACCGCACATTTACAGGCGTTAAAAGACAACGCAGGTTCGGATTTTAAGTCTCATAGTATTAGTATATCAAATTATTGCAGTGAGCTAACCAACAGGATACACTTGCTATTTACCAAAGAATATTTACATTTTAGTCTGCAATTTTCCCACGAGTCTTGTTTGCCAGCCCAAGCGCTGTGCATTTGTGCAATTTCAAACGGTGAATGAAGATATTCACTGAGATGTGTCCTGTTGAAATGACGGCACATTTGTTGACATGCCTAACAGACAAGATCCTGATGCAGCAGGATCAGCAGCGAGCGCTTTGTTTGCTCTTGCACTGAACTCTTGATTCAATGTGTCTAATTATGCTGGATAGAGAGGTCTGTGTTAGTTCTCCTGTTCTGTGCAAACACTGCTGAGCCCAGTTCAAACGCAGCTCAAATGAGAAGTGTACTTTAATGCTTGCAGGAAAGGTTAAGTTTACAGTGTTGTTTATAGTTTTTCATGTGTTTTTTTATGGGCTAAAAGTGACAGCAAGATAATTATTATGTGTCGTTTCTTGAAGAAATGTAGTAAAATGTTAAAAGGGATTTAATTCTAGTTGCCTATATTTCAAGCACACCACATAGCATTTGTTTCAGAATGATAACATAATTTGTATATTGAAGGCCCATTTAAGGATAAGCATTGCACGTTACCTTTGGCTTTGGTGTGTAGCATGGCTAGCTCTCAGAATTTTGGCCATGCATAAACTGCAGTGTGTTTGCAATACAGTGTAAACATTCTAAATAATTATTAAAAATATTGTCCTAACATAATCATATTATTTTATAAATAATAAAATGATACATTTTGCAGAGCAGTGGGAACATTTGTTGCATGAAGGCTGGCCATAGACTGTATATAAAAGACAGGCATAGTCACCGTGGTCTCATTGATTTGTGGAGTGCCATTTTTTAAGTTTTTTTGTTTGGTTCTTTGATGTAAACCAGACGTCATAATTTAGAAAGGGAACTGAACATACCAGATGCTCATATAGTAGTGATCTGTCAGTGTCAGCCACGCCCTAAGGCAGGTCACATGTACGTCACAGTTCACACTGATTCACGTCAGGCTTCAGTGCTCTCTCTTCGCAATCATTTTGAGTTGGGCAGTGTCACGTGGATCTATTTCTTTGTTCTTCATGAATAAAAAACAGAACAAAACGTACTTTTATATAGTGCTTAGACAGTCATTAGCCACCCAGTCAAATCAGTTTAATCAAATGCTCCAGCCAATGAAATCATGAAAAATATTCCTGAGAGAGTGAGATGGTTGCAGGTCAGAATGAAATTTAAAAGAAGATGGCTGTTACTTAGCTTTTTATATACAGTGTCGTGTGTAACATGTTACAAAGTAACGTCTTACTGTAGTTACATTGCATGTTTCAGTAACACAGTAGTGTAACGTGTCACTGTAGTAATTCAGTAACTACACTACATTTAATACTATGTCGTTACTTGTGTTGCAAGTGTTCTTTAGACATCTGTGTGCTGGGCAAAAAAAACACATCCTGCACAATCCTGCTAGAAGATTATAGCTATAGGTTTATATTACTGGTGATAATATGACAGAGCATTTCCGGTCATTTGATCTATTAATAAATTAGTAATGCAACAAGTAGTGCAACAAATTACTTTCTCAATTTAGAAATCAAGTAATATATTTCATTACTTAATACATTACCTTTTCTTGAGTAACAACTCAGATGCTGGTTATGTATGAAAAAGCTTTGTAACAGCTAGATGGTCTCATGGTAACTGCTAATTAAAGATATGTTAACTTGATTTGTGAGTGATTGATGGTTGGTGCTCCAAAAATTCCTCTTGAAGACACGTCGATAAGTAACAGGAGTATATCCTACCCATGGCATACTGTCATTTCATCTATTTTAACTTAGACTAATTTATCTTAAACTATAATTTACAAATAATTTACAAAATGAAACCTGAGTTGGATTAAATACGATGTTTCACTAAGGATTAAGACCATGCACTGAATAAGAAGGTGTCTACTGAGATTATAAATCAGGTGAGCAAGATAAAATCCGACATATTTTTTAAAAACAGAAGAGTCGCCTGCAGGACTTTGGAAAGACAGCAGGGTGCAACATTGGATTTACTTGCTTCCAGCATTTCCGTCATTTATATACAGGCTGTGTGAAGCAACTCAGTACTCAGTATGTCCAGGACTAGATAGTGTTTTCACTGCTTTACAGGTCTGTCCGAAAGCAAAGTATTCAAGACTCAGTATTGTCTGTGATTTATTTTTTGTGTTCAACAAAGCACTTTTTAATTATGTTTTTAAAGTGCTATACAAATGAAGGTTTGCATTATTAATTATTATTATTTCACAAACTATAAAGCCATCATGCATTATTCTGAAGATGAAAAAAACGACCACAAAGTTGATTAATTTGGAAGAAAAGCACTCAGCATAATATTTGCTTTAATTGCGTGACACAAATTAGATATTTAATGGGGGATATGAAACGACTCCCTATGCGGTCCTTTACACAGAGCTCCCTATTTTACAGTGAGTGGGGAGTAGTGAGTGGCCGAATGATTTCCAACACAGGGTCCTTGTGCCGGCTCGTGATGTAACATAGATAAACATAATGTTTACCCACAATAATTTGCATATTTACCTGTCATGGGATAGGCCACCGCTTTTGGCACTACTCTGTGCCACTAAATAACAAATCCACAATTACGACGGGAAACAAACGCAGCAATGACAAACACAAATAGAGTTGTTGTTATTGGATAAATACGCCAAAAGCAGAGGTACCTGGTGTTTTTACAACTCAGGGTTAGCTAATGAAACGAGGCCCTAATATCACCTGCTCACGTCAGGTGACTCTCCAGTCGTTATTAACGAAAGTCTCAGGTATTCCCATGTCAGCCGTGTGCAGAATTTAGAACAACGCGGTTCTTCAACCACATTTCGCACGACTAACAAAAAGTAAGGAGAGTCACGGTTGCTATGAATACAAACAAACTTCTCTCTCCAATCTTTCGCTCTCCTTGCCTCTCCCTCCAGTCCCCTCCCCTCCTCCCCCTTCCGCTAATGTTTTGTTGCCGGGGCGACAGAGGCGGTTCCCTTCGCTCCAGTGATTTAAGACGAATACCTCTCACGCGCTTCCCTCAGTTCAGACTGCCGGTCCCTGCATGGCAACAGGAGCAAGGGATTCCCCCCCTGCCCCGTCGCCCCAGTCTATCTTCCCGTTTAGCATCGTTTCAGCTTTAAAAATGCAGCAGCCCGGCAGCTTTTAACCCGTTCGCGGTGGCATGTCCTGGAACCAAAGTGTAATGCGCGACGCGGAGCAGAAACTTTAAAATCCGGGGGATATTCAAAGCAGTGCAGCCGCATCCTCAGAAGAATCTTTTCAAACGGGACTCCGCATATATATACATTTATATATATGTGTGTGTGTATATAAACTCTAAGCGATGAGGTGTGGACCTGACAAACTTTTAATGTCAACATCTGACTGACTAACATCTCCTTGTTGGACTACAACAGCCTGCGCTCGCCCCAGGGATCAGCCCGCGAGGATTTACGTTATTTTTCTGTTTAAATTTCAGGCAGCCTCCAAATGACGTCGAGATGGCATTAGGTGGAACCCTTCTGCCCTCCATATCCACCTTTGCCAGCGGCCCCACTATCAAGAGTAAATCTATAGGAAACGCCAATTTAGTGAGTATCCTGTGGTCACTTCATATTATGCGCGCATGCCAAAAAAAAAATAGCACTGTGTGGGGTAAAAAACAAAAATAAAAAAAGCATCAAAGAATTGGGTGCAGTGTATTTCTAGCGTGTTTGTTTTTCCAATGTGTCTCTCCCATGTTGTTACACTACAGCCAGGGCTTGACACCACGCTCCAATGGGGCGTGCACCAGTTTACACAGGCTGCTTTAGCGTGGAGACAGTGAGACATGCACGGGAAGCGCACATGGGTTACTGTATTGCTCCGTGGAGAGCATCCAGCTCGATTAGCTTTCCAATTAAATGCAGTTCAAATTCAAAATATTGAAAGGAAGATTATTCTGAGTCTGATCATTAAAAAAAAGGGCCCACTCTTTATTCACCAGATATACCTGTGCCTCTTCTCGTGCTTTCAGCTACAAATCAGTATTCTTGGGAAGTGCTTACAGCCAAGGACACTTTCTGCACCACACTCAGCTCTGTAGCTAAGCTGTCATAATAATCAGTCTCCATACTGCAGATCCAGGTTCCCTTCACTCTAAATTACCCTGTTTTAGGGCTGTTTTCAAGCAGGACAGACAGGATAAAACCCTAGTGTGATTTTCTCGACTCTGTGCCTGTAAAAACAGCAACATGACACAAATGATCAAATTGTGCCAGCACACTCATAATTGCCTCTATAACTTTCCCGTAGAGATGGAAGGAGGAGTTGTCCCATCTTAAGAGATCCAGCGTGCCAGACGAAAGCAGCTGCCCCGACCCAGACCATCCCACTGCCACCAGCATGTCCAAGAAAGACACAGAGCTGGACCTGGACTTAGACTATGACTTTATTTTGTCCAACTCTATTCTGCAGCAGCAACAACAGCAGCAGCAACAGCAGGAGGATGCCATGGCATGCACCTCTGCCCAGGGACTGTCTCCTTCCCCTGGGTCTTTCACCTCATCTTACCCTCTCCCTTCCCCTCAGGGAACTGCCAGCGAGCTGCTCTACACCATTCCAGACATCAATGATGTTTCGCCCTCTGGAGGCTTCGTGGCCGAGCTCATGAGACCCGAGCTGGATCCGGCTTACCTCCAACCCACGAGCCTCCATGGGAAGTTTGTAGTCAAGACAACAATGGACATGGGAGATTACAACCAAGGCATGAATGTTAGCAAGGCCTGTGTTAACGCTGTGTCAGACCCGACTCCCTCACGTGCCTCGACGACCTTCGTGTGCCACAGGATAAAGCAGGAAAACCCCAGTAATTGCACCATCTCACAACCCATGGACCTACACCTGGCTGGAGTAAACTCCCATGGACGAGGAAGCCAGCAGCAGCAGCGTCCCAGCCACTTGGATCTTGGGTTCCATGGCAGAGGGCGCTCCATGACAAACAGCAGGTTATCCTCATCCTCTTCCCTCTCCCCGGACCACCCCTTGAGCCGGGAACACCAGGTGTTGGGCCATTCCCACTCTCAGATCCCTCTTCCTCCCCAGGGATACCACCATAGTTCGCCACCGGGATACACGTCCTACGCCCAGACATCATCCATGCAGTACCAAGGTTAGAGAGCATTTATTATAATAGAGAGTTCTTAAAACTGTGTTTTCTTAAAATCTGTCTAAGAACACAACTTATACAGAGTCAATGGTTTTAAACGAGCCATTGGTTCAAAGTGTTGCACTTAAAAGGATCTTGTCCTCGTAAAACTCTTTAAAAGTCTAGCCCGCATACAGAATTTGAATTTCTATAGAATCTGTGTTGTTTGTTACTTTAAAACATTAAAACTAACCACTTCTCTGTTGTGGTGGGTTTTTTTAATTAATTGTGGCACTGTGCAGTGTTTTGCAGAGAAGTATTAAAGCTTTTAGAATAGCAGCTTTATTTTGCACAAGCCTTTTATATGATTTAAGAGGGGCTGATGTTTTCTGAGTCCCTTCAAAGTTCGAGACAGAAGATACATTCTTTTTAAACAAATATTGAACTTTTATGCCTCTGTTATATCGGCTATAAGCCTACCCCACTGTTCAGTGACTTCTGATATAGTTATAAGTTTTCTCTGCTCATGTGGAGTATGATTAGGGACCATGATAACAGTTATTGTCACATCTGTTTTTTGACTCCACAGAACCCCTCATGATATCTACTGGTGACTGCATGCCGGAGGAGCCAAAGCCTAAACGTGGTCGACGGTCCTGGCCGAGGAAGAGAGTGGCGACACACACGTGTGACTTTGTCGGCTGCGGGAAGACATACACAAAGAGCTCGCACCTTAAAGCGCACCACCGCACACACACAGGTATGCAGATGGGTGTTTGACGCTTCTGGCGTCCGCTTACACTAGTGTTAGCTTTTAGCCTTAGCACGCTCTCATTAAGCTTATTCTCTTATTTTCGTGATAGTTTCCTTGTTGAACATCACTTGCTCATTATGGACAAACATGTTTGAATAGGGGCTGGAAGGGTGGGGGCTGGGAGGGGGACTTGTTTAGCAGGTGCAGTAAAACAGGTTGATACTGATCCCTTTTCAAATACAAACCCCAGGCCGGATGGTTTGGCCTTTACACACTAGCTGCAGGACAGGATGGACCTCTTTTTCTCCTGAATGTGGGGAAGGCTGGGCCATTTTTAACCTCAGGGCCAGTGCTAACCGCTCTGTGTGTATTGTGTTTCCATCAAAGGGGAGAAGCCTTACCACTGCGACTGGGAGGGCTGTGGCTGGAAGTTTGCGCGTTCGGATGAGCTCACCCGCCACTACAGGAAACACACAGGCCACCGGCCGTTCCAGTGCCAGAAATGCGACCGGGCGTTTTCAAGGTCAGATCACCTAGCTCTCCACATGAAGAGACACTTATGAGACTTGGATGGTCGGTGGATGAAGGCTCCAGTGGGCGGGGAAGGGGACATATATGTACGTTAGCAGAACCCTGAACAAACCTGTGACCTACAGTTTTTTTTTCTTTTAAACCACGATTTGCCTTCAAACTGGCGTCAAGCAACAAGACAAGCTGTGGTGTTCATGGCAAGAAAAAACAAAAATGAAAGAGCGCTGGATCTTTAAGAGCCAAGAATTTCTCTCAAGACTGATCCCGTGCTCGCACGTTGTGCAGGTGACTCGACAAGACCTCTCAGCCAGGGTTGTAAACTTTTTTATGAAAGGGACCAAACTGGAATTTGTGTTATTTAACCGACAAAACTTGGAGGACCAGGTGCCAACTGTTTTTTTGGGGGTTTTTTCGAACTGGAAGTGTATTTTTGTCAGGGAAACCAGGAGCAACAGAAAAAACATCTCCAGAGGCCTTCTACCAGCAACATGTCTTCATAGGCCCTGTAAACGACACACTGTACAATTAAATACATATATATTTATATACACATTTCACCTGCAATGCCATTGATTTCAGGTACAATGTTAATTTATACAGAATGGTGCTCAGTGACTCTGAAGGGTTTTTTTGTAATAAAAGGTACCAAAGATTATACAAAAAGGGTGAAATGAAAAAGTGCCATATGGTTTTTGTGTTTCTTGGAAACCTCTCTTCCGCAATCTGACTTAAATCAGGTAAACACTTCATTTTTTTTTTAAAGGTGATGGCAATCTTCAATGCACTGCAGCTGCAAAGTGCAATAATTTATATGAGACGCTTGTATTTTTGTATTGAATGAATAACTCTGAACAAATCTTTGTTTGTTTATAGCCAAAATATGTAATATAATCTTGAACTTTGTACATTTGTAAATAATAATTCTTTGTTATTGTTTTGTATTTTACATTATAATAAAATGTATTTGGTATAAGAAGAAAAATCTTTATGACCTTTATGCCATTTCATTGACAACCTTTGATATCTAAAGACATGAACAGTTGGCAGGATAAAAGACATTAGTCCTATAAAAAAAAAGTTTTACAGTAGGTTGAAGATTACCGCACTGACCTCTGTGGTAATGGTGAGATCACTCCAGGCGACCTAACACAATGTTGCCGTTAAAAAAGGTTTTCAAAAGAAAATTCACTCCTACAATGTCGCACTTCCATGGAGTTCTCTTTCCACCTGTCAGGTGGATGAATTGGGAGGACAACTGAGTTGGTGGCTGACATTCAAGGGTGACACCAAAACTGGCACTGATGTGCACAATAGGAGTACAAGCACTCAGATATGCTGCGGTGAGATAGATGACCTGAGACTTACAGCACTGAAAAGAGCTCAGTAGAAAGGTGATGTTGCTGAGCCGTTAAGGCTCTATACCTATACTGTGCAGGCCTCACAGTGTGACCTCGTAGAGAGATTTGGACTATAATAACTGTACTTATTTTTATGTATGTCAAATAAGTTTAAAATACAGATGGTGATCATTTTTAGATATTTAAATAGCCCTTCATTTTGACAGGGGATGTCAAAATGTATTAAATCTACCACTGTATCTAACACTGGGTTTGCAACAGCTGTGTTATTTATCACTAAGTATTTGGATTTGTAGCGTGTTGACATTATAGTACCTTGCAAAGAATTTTATTAAATCTATCAAGAAAGAAAAAAGTAATTTACATCCTGATAAGAAAGAAAAGGGTAAAAACACAAGAACCCATGTATGAGTATTACTTGTGTATTTAGATGTTGACACATTTGCTGTATAGTTACATTTATTAAAGTGGCACTTGGCAGGTGGGTGAAGCCTGAGATCAGATGTTGTGGTGAAGCAACGATAATAACAAAAACCCATAGAGACTCACCTTAAATTAAATCCTGAGCGAATTTGTACTGTGGCCTCCATTGGATTTGTTTTCTTTGAGGATTACGTGATCGCCTGAGTGGTGCTGCTGTGTCTCTGAGGTTTACTGGTCTTTGAGAGTGTACAGCCTTTCAATAATACAACATTTTTATTATAATTTTTTAACAATATGAATTTATAAGATGATTCAAAACATCACATACTGATTATAGAGAAAAAACATCCTATAGTTAGGACATTACAACATTACAGCATTCTTTAGAGACTTAAGTACCACAGCACAGGGATGACAAGGGGAAAAGAAGGGTGTGTGTAAGACCATGCGGGTAGCATTGCTTTCCATTTGTTGTGAGTGGTAGCCCCCAGTCACACATCTTCAGGTTTGGAAGTTGGAAATATATTGTGGTCTATGTTGCCCCCTATAGGTTTATTTGGTTCAAACACAGCACAATCCCTTCAGAATCTCCCTTTTAATTAAGAATTACACTTCGTAAACCAGACGGCTATAATTGCAGGTGTCATTTGTAGTGTTTGTTGCCACAGAAAGAATATGCTAATTTTCAATGTCTTTTAATTCAGCATTTTAATGACTAAAGTGTCAGACGGATTGTGGATTTCTTGTGTGTTTATTTATTTTTTTTTACATAAAGATGTAAAAGTGAGTATACACATTTATTAACAGCAAAAAAAAAAAATTGCACTGTATTACTTCTCCCAAAGCTTTGACCCTCTTTATACAGTGCTCTGAAAAATCATCTCCCCCAAATGTGGTACAACTGGTTATCAGGCGTTTTCCTACACCAGGCCTGGCAAGTTTGGCAACATTAACATTTTCACATTAATAAATGAAAAACTGGATTTTGTATTTTTTCAAGTTACCTCTAATTTGTTTGATTATTTGAAAATTTAAAAAAAATAAAAAATAAAAAAAATCAGGAAGAAGACTTCTCCATAGCACCACACATGTTAAAATGCATGCATATCTATCTATGCGTATTGCAGATTCACCAGTTTGGTGTACCCTGCTGGGACAGGCTCCAGATCCACCTCCGAAACAACACTAACTCAGATAAGCAGTTAATCGTGGCGTTTTTTTCAACAAAGATGAATAAAAAAAATAAATACAAACAAAACTCCACGTTGCTTGTGTTGAACACTTTAATTTTTCAAATCTCCATTTTAAGTCAACTCCAAAAATCAAATAAGAGTGCATGAATACTGTCAGAACCTTTCAGATGAACCCAGAACTCATCTCACATAACAGAAAAAAACTTAACATAAAACATACTGGTCTTAAGTATCACAAATAATAATAAACAGATTATTTCTGATGCAAAATTATTGTACTTAAATTTTTACTTCATTTTTAACCAATAACAAACAAAATCCTCCCCTCGTACAGCAGCCACCAGCTGATAAGATCCAGTGTTACAAAGAAAGTAGAATGTGGAAGTGGTGAATAAAATAGTTTTTTTGGAAACTAAAAGGCTTATTGTGCACATTTATCAAAAAAATCTGCAATCAAAACATAGAGAAAGTGGTATGAAGATGGCTTGTTTAATCCTCATCAAAGTTCTGTTGTAAAAGGAAGTTGGCAGCCAAGTTCTCATTCTTCTCACAAGCAAAGTAGGCTTGTATAACAAGTCCCTCTGGAAATCCTAAGGCTTTTAGCTGGAATCAGAGAGTCATAGCTTAAAGTTAGTCAATCAATACGTTAGTCAGTCAGTAATATCCCTTCATTTGACATTTTGTTGAGTAAATGTTGCACAAATGTGACATGTAAGGGAAACTGGTTCACATAGATACTCCACCATGTTTGGTAAAGGAGCCTTGAGCTTTGCAATTATGGAAAATGTGTCATGCGTCAGCCATGTGTCGTTCTCCTCACCCTCTCAATGGCCTCCTTCTCCTGTGGTGTGACCTGGATATAGTTCATTTGATTTCCGCCGCCGCCACCTCCTCCTCCTCCTCCTCCTGCTCCACTGCTGCCACCTCCTGGCACTGGCTCTGGGACGGGTTCATTTAACATCTGAATGAACTGCTCTTGGTGGCTGCTGATCTCCTAGTGTGGTAGATAAAAAGAAGACTCCATAGCAATGGAAACTCTCTACTGCAGAAATAAATAATACATTAAAAATAAAGACTACAAATGATAATTTTATAATTAGAAAAAAAATAGGTGATTAGGTATAGTAGTTTCCTAGAGTCACAAGACTCGCAAACATCAAGGGTCTAAAGGTTTATTTGCACAAAGCAGCTGGAATCTCATGAATTCGCTGTGCAGTCACACAACTCAACACAACATGAAGCCAGAAAGTTTCACTTCTAAAATAAACAAATTCAAAAAAATACATATTTTCTGACTTAAAGTAAATTTGTCTGCGCTCCCCTTATAAGTAGTCTCCTCATGGCAGCACTCCACCACTTCCAGTGCTTTTGCTACTACAGCAAATTCATGCCGTAAGCTCCTTGTTGCATTCTTAACTCGATGAACTGACTCAGACCTTGGTCATCCATGGTGAAGTGGTGCAAGTAATCAGATTTGGAGTCCTAGGACGCGTACTAAAAACAGAAACTACCCTGGAAATGGTCCAGAGGTGCCTAAGGAGACAACCTGGAAGGGGAGACAATCACTCTACAATTTGCTCTCAATGTAGAGCAATTTTGATATAATTTTTTTGTCTAATCTTATGGTTAAACTTGTTAATATGCCAAGTTAGGAATGAACTGATCTGATATATGGACAGTATATCAGACTATTCCCCACTTGAAAAGCCAGATTAGATATGCTCACAACAGGCTGAAGCAATTCTTCATTTCTGTGTTCCTTGCCAACTGTGAGTCAGCAGCAGTGTAATAGTTGCTGGCAGGAGTGCTAACAGCATAGCAGAAGCTAACAGCAAAGTGTGAGCAGTTTGAGCAGAGGTATTTCACATCTGCCATAACTGAAAATCTCCAGTCATGGTACTTTTCAAATTCCCATTATGTAAGCTTGAGGACTCCTCTTCTTCAACTTATACGATTTCAGTTTCACTGTAAAGATGTGCACTTGTGATAGTGATTCCCAACTAGCTAAAAGAAAGCAATGCAAATACATACATTTGAACTGAGCAACGCAAAAAAAAAAAATGTTAAAAATACCACTTCACTAAAATAGAATTATTTCATTAAATTATTTGTTGTAACGCTTAAATTCAGTCTGATGCTTCCTCAAATATAAAAGAGTGATTCTCTGAGCCCCTCCTTCAGAGTAAGGGATATGACTTATCAACTTAACACTGATATCAGGCCATCCAAAGGGAAGGTGTATTCTATCCAAACTGGAAAAACAGTTAACCTTGCATTGAGTAAGTAGAAGTATGAACTGGTCAAGTCACCTGTTAAGTGAAATATGACTTTTTAACCCCTTAATTATATTAAATAAGAATTATGCTAAAAGCCTTTACTACATCCATGTTTCCAACAACATTTTTATTTTTTGACACATAAGGCTCTGTCCTGTCACCTGCAGCAGCTCTGGATTTTCCCTGCCGATCTCTTGCAGCAGGGCGGGAAGAAGGGCTGCGTTCTGCTGGATCAGCTGTCGCATCACCTGGAATTGGGGCTGATTTCTTAGGAAGTTCAGTGGATTGCCTACAAGTATGAGTCACACAGCACAGGCAAAAAATTTAAAGAAAAAAAGACACAAAGATAAGGAGAAAAAAAAAAAAAAAAAGGAGCCACAGGAAGAAGAACAAAGAAAAACATTTGTTCATTGAAGCTGCAGAACAATATAAGGCCATTTACCTCCCCCAGCACTTGGTGAAGACCTAGTATTGGCAGGAGCACTAGCATTGCCTGCAGGTGCAGCTGGAGCTCCACTCGCTGGAGGCGCCGCTGCATCACGACCTGATGCATTACCCTGATTTCTGCTTGGGATACCCTGTGGGGAAATTGATGACATACACCTGTTTGTTTGCAATGACACAGTTACTGAATATACAATACTCTGTTAAAAATTTCACTGCTCTTACTGTGAGGAGGTATTCCATAGCTCTGTCGGGGTTGTTAAAGCTTGCTCTCAGAGCAGCCACCACCTGCTCCCTCTCGTAGCCCATGAGCATCATCTCATTCACCATGGCATCATATGAAGAGCCTGTCACTGTACGGATACAAACACAAAGACGGAACATTTCGTTATTACAAACTGAAAGTCAAGTTTTGCTTTCCGACGTTTAGTACGTCATCAGCCACTTCTAGAAGAATGTAGTAAACTTAGGAACTTCTGCTCAATGGTGCAACATTGTAATGACCCAATATCTGCATATATATTCTGTTTCAACAGGGACATGGGCTGTGTGATATGACCAAAATCTCATATCCTGATATAAGAATCTATCGTCCCAATAACGATATAAATCCAAAAATGTAACATTTTCTGTAAATTCTGTGAATCTCGGGCAGCTCGACTTGCGTGAAGTGTTTCCAGCTGCGCGTCATGTAGCTGGAGTCGAGTGTTTTAACCGATGCATGAAACGATACATTTTTAGACATAAGTTGTAACGGCCGCCGTTTTCTTTGTGAGTATTTATTACACGGCGTGCTGCGGGGAAAAGCCCGTTCTAACGTTTGAGTCTAGGGTTTATTTTTTAGCACCTGGCGGCTCTTTTTTTGCTTCTCATCCGTAAACACTCTGCATACTCTTTCATGTGAATTAGTTTATTTTGAAAAGTCTCAACAGTATCTTGAACTTTATTGTGAAAGGTTTATGTGGAAAATAAAAAAAAGCGGACACGCGATGGTTTTACCGTCATTGTTGCTAACGACAACGCATAATAACAGGCGCTTGCCCATCCGTAGTGTGGTTATATTAAATATAAGAGAAAGAGAGAACTTTAAGAAATTAATATAGCCACTACAGTGACCATGAAAACGATGAAAAATTATTGCCGTAAATGGTTTATTTTGCGACACCACAAAACAAATGATAGCGTAAAAGTAAACGATAGACGTTTTTATACAGTCATCCGATATATATTGTTATATCAAACAGCCCTACTTTAGCCATTATAAAATCTTTCCCCTCAAATACAAGAACAAGAAAAAATAGAAATCCAACAACAATAGAACGCAATAGAATACTAAACCTCACAAAAACAAGCTTACCTAGATTTGAAACTGCTTCACTGATTAAGTTTGTTGAATCTCCAGAGCGTCTGTAACAGAAGGAGACCTTGGATTAGGTCTAAAAGTCGTTTCTCAAAGCCACACACTGAACAGTTAAAGAGAAGCATCAGCCCGTCTTTACCCGACAGAAGTGGAAGATGCTTCAGTTGTTGAAGGCTGGCTCTCCTCTGGTTTGTCGTCTGTAGAAGATTGCTCTGCTGGTTTGTCTGAAGTGGATGATGAATCAGACTGTGCAGCTGGAGCTGTAGTGCTGGGAGCTGGCACTGCTGTTGAAGGCTGTGAGGCAGCGGGGGCTTTTTTAGGCTGCAAAACAAATTTGTAGGGTTTTTTTTCTTCTTTTAGTTGTAATCAAAATGGTAAATTTGGGCTGTATTTTACTTAAGGCTGCTCTCTGCTGGATCAGCTGTCGCATCACATGGAATTGGGACTGATTCCTTAGTAGAGCAGGGCGATATGGCCAAAAATATTTATCACGATATATATTTGAAAATTTGCGATAACGATATAAC